GCGCGGTGAAGCGGTGAGAAAAACAAATGGCGAAGATACAACACACGAAACATTACCTAACTAATGACACAATGTATCCCTGGAATGCGAAATTCAGATATAAGAGCTAACAAGTTCTGCAGATCATACAAAAAACTAAGCGAATTTCTGAACTTCGCACCAGGGTCGTAGGAATTATCCATGCAAACGAGAAGGGACAGCTTCGTGCTTGCTGTTTTTTACATAATAATCGATCGTCTTCATCAGACCTTCGTCGAATGGGGTCGTGCACTGCCAACCCATCGCCTTTTTGATTTTGGAGAAGTCGATGTAGTATCGACGATCGTGGTAAGGCCGGTCCGGTATAGGGACGAAAGAAGGGGGCGACTCTTTTCTAAACAAGAACATCAGCATGCGGTCACAAAAGTAGTCACCAACGACGATCAAAAAACACAACATCGAGGACTTGAACTATCTTTGACATTGAAAAGGGGACAAAGATCGCCTTGAAAGATGAGTGGAGAGCATTCTTACTCGTCGTCTCTTCATGCAAGGCTTGATAGAAACGTCCAAAATGATATAAACTCATACGACTAAGCAAGAAGAGAGATATGACCAATTAATGTTGATTTTTTGCTCGCAAACCTTAAGCGCCATAAAATAGCTGCAGATAGTACGCGCCATCCGGAGCAGATGGGTGCAACAGATATTGCTGCCAGCTTTCATTTTAAGAATCGTTCACCTTGATTAGCAACCCTCATGAAGCTTGCAAACAAGCAACGCTACAGTATGCTCCACATCTACAGTCGCTTAGAACTCTACTAGCGCTCTAAACGAAATCGAACATGCCAAAAGTTGAACTGCCTTCGCACTGAATGCCGCTATCAGATAATAGATATAATTCTCCAATGCTCAGCTTGATGCATATTTTGAAGACTGCTACGGAGAGTAAAGAGTATCTCAACTATGAAAAAATGAAATAAAACACTGAAATATTGAATGTTATCACAACTGGCATTTTTCCCAAAGCGGCCGACTACAAATAATCTCTCGTGCCATGAAAACTTCAAACAAATGAATCAAATAAAAAGTAAACTTACCGCTTTTGCAGCTTGTTGACAATGTTGTGTATCTTCCTTGTGAGTTCGATATTAGTAAGCTCAAAATCGGTACCGATATTGTAAACTTCTCCTAGCTGACCGTCCTCGGCAACCCTTCTGATGGCCTCAGAACAGTCTTCCACATACATCCAACTTCTGAAATGCCAAATTTGGTGGTAGGGTTTGAAACACGAGTTTTACGTTGTATAGGTTTGAGTTCGCCCAAACCAAACAACATATTACCTTGTATGCAGACCGTCGCCCATTAGAGGGTACGGTTTTCCTTCTAATGCCAACTTGGTGAACTTCGGTATGAGTTTTGTGCCAGCTTGTCGCGGCCCATATACATTATTCATGCGAACCATAACGTAGGGAAGCTTGTATGAGTGCTGTAAAACCGGCAACGTAGAATCACTAAGGGCCGCATGCATTAACATCCCCGGTGGGGAGG